TTATAAACAAAAAAATTCCGGATCTAAAAAAAAAAAATCGTATCGATAATGTCTCATGTCCGGAAGGATTTATTACATACATTTTATTTGAACCTATTTTTGAACCTTGTTTTAAACCCTATTTTAACCCTTGTTATATATAACCCGCAGCTTATCATGAAGAGTTTCTTATTGGTCATCAATAATTAATTGCTTAAAGTTTAAGGCAAATCGTAATTATGTAGTGACCAGGGGGGAAAAGCGGAGAATGAACAAAAGGATATCTGGTAGATGTATTACAAAAATAGATTTACTGTCGTAATATCAAAGGAGAAAATTTCAATTGGCCCGTAAAAAAATTTATTACTTTATGATTTATGCATGCAATTCATCTACTTTATAACAATATTGGTATATCCGCGTTTTGTTTATAACGAGAAACATTGATGTATATGACGATGAAGTAACACCTTCAATTATAAAAAATATAATTAGAATTATTAAAGATAATTAACGACTTTTTTTAAAAAGACGCGTCTATTTAGCGTGACCTAATATTTATACTATTATATGTTATTTATGCTCAGCATAACAATACATCATCATCTTACATATCTTACATTCTTACACGCAACAAACTTTATTTCCTTTATATATATATATATATATAAATTCTTGTGAATCGATTCGTCCATTTTTTTTTTGATCTTTATTGTTAACTGTCAAAAAAAAAAAAAAAAAAAAAAAAAAACTTTGTATTATGTTTAAACGGTTTTAAAAATAAAAATAATTTTTAATTTTTAATTTTTTTTTTTATTGTTTTGATTAAATTTGGAGAATAAAAAGAATAAAATAATATAATAATATAATTATAATATAATAATAATAATAATAATAATAATAATAATAATCATTTCATTTTTTAACCTTGTTTCTCAATTTTTTACCGAAATTTTCCTTTTTTACCTTTACAGAATCCATTGTATTTTCTTTAATAGGTTTTTTCCCGTTGAACCAACTATGATTTAATTATTCATACAATCATACAAAAAATAAAAATTATATAATGGATTGGATCATGTGCATGCATTTCTTTTCTTTTCTTTGACAAAAAGGTATAAATTATTTTACCGCCAAAAAAATTACATTGTTATAAAAATGTATCAATGATTAATAATATCTTTTAAAATCTAAAAAAGAGTGAAAGTTATTTTAAATATTTTCTTTACCGTTTTGTCTTTTTCCCTTCGTAACATTTAAAGAAATTTTAAATAAAATGTTTAACCTAATTTGGTATTTAAAAAATATGAGATCATTGAAAAAAAAAAGCGGGGATGGGTTAATCGGATATTGTGTTCCATGTGTACCATATGATTTCTTTTTCTCAAATAATATTTTATTTCTAAATTTGGGAATGTAGATATTTGTAATTTTACATATAATTTTACATATTAAAACACAAATCATTATTATCATATAATTTAATTCCCATTTTGAAACAAAAATGTTTAAAATTTTCGGTTTTTTTTTTTTTATACTTGCATTTAACTACCGATCATTACATTTTTTTTCGGCGCCAAACATTTACGAGTAAAAACCTCGCATTAGCCGTTAAAACCAATCGAACAGCCGAGCCCTTAATAAATTCCGTAAGGTATTCGGAAATTCTGATGGAATCGGCGATAAGTTTTTCGAACCAAACCAAATTTATTACTACGGCACATGGCGTACTTTATAATAAGGAAAAGAAATAGAATTGTTCCATGTATCTGCAGATATCTTTTTTTCGATATATATTTAGATCTTTGTTATTTCGCAATAAACCTAAATATAGGCTAATATAGTTTTGTATCATTCATTTAATTAGCATTATGTCAATCTTTTATTACATGAGAGCCATTGTGGTTAAAAGTCTAGTGAAAATATATATATATATATATATATATATTTTCGGATATATTGATTTAAATAGTAAAAAAAAAAAGCGGAGAAATAAAAAAGTTTTTTTCATTCCCAAACTCGAATTTCATTTTATAATTAAAACAAACGTCGATCTCAATTGGTATATTTTGTATTAATTTGTTCAATCCTTCTTTTTTCCTACCCCCCGGTAAATGAAAAAATTGCAAGGGTTATTCTAAATGATTTGCTTAAATTTGTTTATTAGAATATTCTGCAACTAATCTGTAATGTATCAAAAAAACATAACATTAATGCATAATGCAAAACATCTAATTCTCTTCTCTCTTGTTGTCTTTTAGTTCCCATGCAAAAACTTGAGTTTATTTATATGTAGTGTTTAATAAACACATTTTTCTATAATATTTTATTTATTTATATTATTATTATACATGATAATATAATATTATATATATTAATATAATAAATATATATTTATATATATATATGTATGTATGTATGTATGTATATATATATATATATTTTAAATGAATATCATATAATAATCATACCGTAATTAATTTTCAATTTTAGCTTCTAATTTTTATTGTAAATGCAAAAGTAAATTATTTTAGATTACACAATATAAAAATATTTTGATGCTGATTAACTAATAATATTGTTATTATATTTATATTATTGTTTCACATTTGGCTCAAACAAGACATCTCCCGAGACGATCTTGACAATTAAACTCTAAAGCTAAATGCGAAATTTTATCCCTGATTATTTATAACAAAGATGATAATTCCCTTTCAAAACCCGAAATTTATTACTACGCCAATTTTTTTTTTTTTTTGTGTGTATTTTAAATTTACATATATATTACAATATATATATTTTTTATTTCCTATAATAGGTTGCTTATTTAGTTATTTTGGTTGATTTTTAGTACATTTAAAATGATTTTTTTTTATAAATAATAGGCTCTCGCACTTTTTTTTTCACTTTCAACCTTCACTGTTGCTAATTTTTTCAATAAGTGAGGATCAACCCACTATTATTTATACTGCTATTTTAAAATTATATACATTATAAATATACATAATATATATATACTTTTTAAGTATATTTGATCATAAATCAGATTTATATTCGATATATATACGTCATAAAATTATTTAATCTTTTTCTTTCCGTTATTTCCGCACGATTTTTTTTTTTTTTTCTGCTTTATTATAAATACATTCCATTTCATAAAAAAAAAATTTTTTTTCAAAAACTTCATTCCTTCTTGCTTTTTTGGCGTTTTATCCCTGAAGCCAAATATAAAATAAAATGTAAGTATTCTAAAAATTTATATTGTTTCATTTAATTCTTTCGTATATCTTTCTTTAGAAGAAAAAAAAAAAAAAAAAA